CTGATAAGACCGTAAAATTATGCAACCACTGTGGAACATGGTATGATCCAGCAATTTCACTACTAGGTATATATCCTAGAGAAATAAGAGCCATGACAGGAAGATATATCCAATATATCCACACCCATGTCCATCACACACTATTCACAATAGGAAAAAGATGGAAAGAATCTAAGTGCCCATCAATGAATGAATGGATCAACTATGGTACATACATACAATAGAATGCTATGCAATATTAAAGAACAATGATGCATCTATGAAACATGTCATAACACGGATGAAGCTGGAAGACATCATGCTGAGTGAAGTTAGTCAATCACAAGAGAACAAATATTATATGACACCACTATTATGAAAAGTCAGGAAAAGGGTTTCACAAAAAAAGAACTATTCTTTGATGGTTACTGGGGGTGGGTGGGGAAGGGAGTATAAACCATTGACTAAAGGGTAAAAAACAAAACACCAAAATCACTGCCATCGAGTCAATTCCGAGTCATAGCGACTCCCTTTGGGTTTTCAAGGCAGCAAATCTTTACAGAAGTAGACTGCTGAGTCTTCCTTCCGTGGAAGGCTGGTGGGTTTGAACCGCCAACTTTCTGACTGGTGGTCAAATGCCTTAGGCACTATGCCACCAGAGCTCCTGACTAGAGGGCAGACACACCATAATAACGTGAGTGAAAAAAAAAAAAAGAATCTATATGACTGTCCAGTTTCAACCTTTTAGTAGAACTGGTAAAATGTTCACTATAATTTGACTGTGAAATTATTAACATACATAATGTTACTCTCAGAAAGCAAATAAAAAACAATTATAAATCTAAAAAAAAAAAAGAAGAAATCAACCAAAGTATTGCAGTGGGAAAATATGATGTAAACAAATATGTCACCTTGATGACTAAGGTGCCCCTGACCCAAGCCATGGTATTTTCAATCACCTCATGTGCATGCAAAAGGTAGACAATGAATAAGAAAGACCAAGAAAAATGGACTCATTTGAATTTGTTGACAAAGAATATTGAATATACTATAGACTGTAGAAGAACCAACTAATCTGTCTAGAATAGTCATTAGTAGCAAAGACGGCTAGACTTCATCTCAATTACTCTGGACATGTTATCCGGAGGGACCAGTTCTTGGAGAAGAACATCATGCTTGGTAAAACAGAGGGTCAGTGTAAAAGAGGAAGACCCTCAACAAGATGAAATGACATAGTGGCTACAACAATGGGCTCAAAACATAACTATTGGGAGGATGGCATGGGACTGGGCAATGTGTTCTCTTATGTGTTGGGTTGCTATGTGTCAGAGCCAACTTGATGGCACCTAAGAACAGCAGTCTATCATTGGGGTTCCTGGGTGGTGCAAACTGTTGATGTACAGGGCTGCTAATTCAAAGCCTGGCAATTCGAGACCACCCAAAGGCACCTCAGAGGAAAGGCCTCCCAAAAATCAGCCTTTGAAGGACCTATGGAGCACAGTGCTACTCGGACACACAGGGGTCACCATGGGTTGGAGTCACTAGAAGGCAACTGGATTTTTTGTTTGTTTTTTTAATTTCTCACTACAGGTCACTTTGGGCCAGAGCAATGTGTTAGCCAAAGCCTAGGATGCCAGAGGCCTGGACAAAGAAGGCTTAGTGAAAATGGCAAGGTCAGGTCCACAACACCTGGAGTGGCTGGGGTGCTGAAATAAGGAAAAGGAAGGCAACAGGAAAGATTGAGGTTGCCAAAAACAAAGGTGCGCTAGCCCACTATTTTGCCTTGGGGTGAATCTGACCTCTGCAGCAGCCCTGACTGTAAAGGGCCAAGGATCCCATGATGCATGCTTTTGGTTCACTGCCCATAACACAATCTTGCCTCTACCCCAGGCTGTACAGATTTATGCTGGGAATCAGGGCATCCGGGATTCCAGTCATGGAATTGCCATGGATTATGGCCTGGTGACTCAGTGGTTAAGTACTTGGCTTCTAAACAAAAGGTCAGCAATTCGAACCCACAGCCACTCTACAGGAGAAAGATATGGCAGTCTGTTTCCATACAGATTACAGTCTTGGAAACCCTATGGGACAGTTCTACTCTGTCCTATAGGGTCATTATGAGTCTGAACCAACTAGATGTCAATGGGTTTAATAGGTGTGACCCAAGGAAAATCATCTCTGGGCCCATTTTCTCATCCTTAAAATGAAAACATTGTCACTCATCTCACCATCCCAGGATCTTGTCCTTCATCTCCTCATATACTTGGGCAAAATGGTGTAGCATCAATTCAAAAGTACTGTAATTTTCAGCCTTCCCATAAACATATTTACTTATCTCTGCATAATTTCTCTTGTTATCTGCTGTCATTCTAGTTTAATGTAATAATGAAAGTAAAAAACTAGTTATCTTGAACAGTATTTAAATCTATAACCACTAGCTCAGAATTTAAACACTGAACTGGTCCCCTTACAGCTCATTTGATTAGAAAAAAGGTGCCAGTGTGCCCAGTGGCATGAAGTCAAGGCTCAAAACATACCTATTTCCACCACTGGCCAAACATCTCAAATGCTCAAATGGCTCCAACTCACAGCAGGTGTAT